TTCACAAAATATAATTATTATACACTTACATACATAAAGCAATACTGGCAGTTTTTTCAGTTAGGCTTGAAATCCCTTGATTTCTTGCAACTTCGAATGGACGTGTCATCTCTCCTTGAATTCGTTACGTCACAACTTATACTAGCATTTGTTTAACAAGTCGAAAGCAAGTGAAACATGATTAGCCAATAGAAATGAAACGTGGCAAAAGTATAATAGAATTTCTTTTTTCTCCATATTTCGGTCTCTGACGAAGTTTTAATAAAAATGAATTTCCTATTTGTTCTTTATGTTATCATTCTGTCGGATTCCCATCCATATTTTATCTATATTTGATTCTAACTCATTTATATATAAAATGAAAATAACATTGACATCTCATTTTTAACAGATATATTTACCAAAATTACACAAAAATATATTGAAATACTAAAGAGTAAATTTATTCAATAAAATCGCCACTGGCTTCAACCACGGCCTCCAGACGATTTCGGAATCTCCGGCAACTCTTCTGGGCTGTCTCCTTGTTTAAGTTGGTGAATGCTGCCATAATTCTTGCCTTCATCTTTGGTGTTACAACTGCACCCCATACATAATAATCTAGGAAGTTGCAGCCGTGGGAATGTAATGGGGGATGCAGCCGCAGAAATTGTCAGACAGCCGTTAACTAGGTTCTCCTGCTTGTTTGGTATGGTGCAGAGTCCTGTTGGCAGACATAGGGTCTTCCAGCAGCCGCCTTCTTGACCCAGAGCAGCACTACCTCATCAAGGTACTTGATGTAGGCCTCTGTGTTGAGTCTGAGGCCCTGTGGCAAGATGAATGGAGGCATAATATCCTCATCACTAGTGCTCACTCCAAATACCATGATATTGACTGAATATCTGGTTTTCATCATTATCACTACATCTTTTGGGGACACAGTATTTTCGGCATTGTCTTCAAATTGATACCCATATACTCCAAAATGTCCGTACTAGAGCTTCCAGACAGTCCCCAGGTGAACCTACTATACTGTGCAATCAACAAATTCAAAAACAAACAACGCGCATGCGCCAGGTTAAAATATAAAATGGCTACAATTTACCCATCGTGCCCTGTATATATATATTGATAATCTCCTTGCAATGTTGATTTAAATATCTACTCTGTTTTATATCTACAAGCACTCAATCTCTGATATGGAGCACCCTCACCCATAAATATAGCAAATTTTAAACCACACACACAGTATTGTGAGACCGGAAACTACCTACACAATAGACTCTTCCAGGCCTATATTAAGTAAGCGACATAGCACTCTAGAGAGTGACAGAGACACTGAGACACAGAGAGACAGTGAGAGCCGCGTACGACTACCAATATTGGACACTAACATATAGTAAGCTCCGCTTACACTATCTCTGTAACCTGTTGTTAATATATCTTTCTTACATCTAATCCGTGTTCCGTGTTTTCCTTCTGTGGTCCCAACTTTGGCCCCACATCAGTGGCGACGAGGATTCGAGAAACGCACTCACGGCAAAACCTCAATACCTTACCAGTTCCACATCACACAGATAAAAAGATAAATCATCATAATTAGCCCTTGTTAGTCAACTGTTGTATTAAGAACTTTCCGAATGCTTGCCATGACTTCTATAACTAGGTTAGTCTCTTTCATCTTACTATCAAACACCGGTCTCATATTTGCTATCTAACCTTTTCTTGATCTGCTTACCGTGAAGTACCTATGAAACAACCTTTAGCTCCATCTGTTATCCTTTCTTCTTGATCTGTATCTCACCCCACTACTACCACTACTACCACTCTGGTATTTTTGTCGCTTAATCACTCCTATGATATATTCAGTCTTGTTCTGTTCCATGATCAATATTGATGTCTATATTTCTTTATGGACCTTGTAGATGTCAAATTATTTTCCATCCTTTAATCTTTTTCACAGAGACTAAACGCTGTTAGCTTCTTGCTAGTCTATCGCTCTTTCTCTAGCAAATGTTCAGACGAGATACATTCCTTAGTTTCACCAGTTCAAACCTTCACAGCTAGGATCCGCCATACCACTTACACAGACTCGAATCATCCTAATTCTCTTTGGATTTTCGTATTCGATTAGTAAGAAGTAAATTCCACTCAAACAGCTTCTTCCTAGCAACTGTTACTTTGTGAAACAGATTACCAAGTGTATTATATACCGTACTTCTGAACATTAATGGGTATGTCCCAATCCTCATAAATACGTTGAACACAATTGAATGTGGGAGTAATATGCTGTCTAAGTAGTCCACCACTGGCAGTGGTTTACCTACTTCATGCCGCTGGCGAGTATTGTATTTTGTTGATGTTATAAAGATTACTATTTCATTCTCAACCTCCGTTTTGGTTATTCCTCATTCAGTAACCTTTTCTAGGTTACAACAAAGAGGATGCTTACCCGATCACTATGATCTTAACCACTTCAAGATTATATCTTTATATATCATAATCTTCACTTTTATCCACAACTTCGTTCAGTAACCCTCTACCTTGAACGGCCCTTTGGCTTCGTATTAGGTGAAGAATAGTATTTAAAAAGATGTTCAATAGTGTTATCCTAGCCGTGGTACTTTCTATTGATCTTTGTTTTCACTTCATTTTGTTATTTTCTGTGTAGCACACTTGTAAACAAAGAACTGTTAAATACGTTTGGTTTATTTGGGAAAGATATTAGAATAATCCAAAACCTGTACTGGGAGAAAATCGCCTGCATTCAGATAGAAAATGAATTCAATAAATACACAAGAATAGAAAGTAGGTAATAAAACAAGGAAATTGTCATCTCACAGGACTTATTCAAACTAGCAGAACTTATTCAACAAAACGACGCTTCAATTATCAGGCCAACATCGACCCTGAGACCTAGGAAACCGCTGTCCCGTCCTGATTAAGACGATAAATTACATCCGCGTCCTGGATAAAACGATAAAATACGTCCAACAGCAAGGCCTCTGATCTTTGAGGAGCGTGGAACCACCTGCTGGTGTTCCCAGGTCCACCCTGACCCGAGGTGGTAGTACCTGTTAGGGTCCCAGCTATGGGTAAATAGTTAACCCCCGAATTAGGGTCAAAACACCATGAAAGTGTAAAAATGGGTTTTAATACTTTGTAAAAAAATTATTACACGCAAAAATATTTTGAAGAAAAATTATTACCAACAACCAATTATTAGCAGCAATACAGTTTTGAAAACAAATATTACCAGCTATACATTTTTTTAAATAATATTGCCAGCAATAAAAATCTTTTCGGCATTAAATAACCCATTGAGGTTGATATGCCGTAAACCAAAATGAACCAAACGAAACCAAAAGAAACCAAAGCCGTTGCTGCAAATCAGTACGATGACGGGGTTGCGAGAATTTCGACTCCAGCCATCAACATGAAATGGATTTGCGAGGTGTGGTCAGGAGGGCCACACTCGCCTAGCCGCGTCCAACAGCCACACTCCTCTGTGACTCACGGTCTTCGCAGCCATCTCCGTCATCGCCACCAGATGGGATAAAGGGAATAGAGAGGGAGGAGGAGGATCCAGGTGATCGGATGCGAGCGGATGCTAACTACTATTTAATCTGTAGTTTTAAGTCGATCCTGAGAGAATTAGATGTCCTACCAGGATTCGTTATTGACGGCTATAATCTTAACAGCATAAGATATGCAGATGACACAGTGTTGGTAATAGATATTGAAAGAAAACTACAGGAACTCAGAATGTCGTAAAGGAAAGCGTGAAGAAAGGACTAAGCATCAATTGTAAGAAAACAGAATATATGGTTGTCAACAAAGGAACAACTTCGGATAGAAAATTTATAGACATTAAAATCAATCAAGTACAAAAGTTGAAATAACTGAGAAGTTTTTTAAAAGTGGACGGAAAAAGTGATACTGAAATTCAGATGCACATTGGAATAGCGAATAACGCCTTCCAAAAACTAAGCAAAGGAACAGGAAAATTTCATTAAACACAAAGTGAACTGAACTGTTACGTAATATCGGTCAATCAATATGGCAGTGAATGCTGCAACATTTTCTCACAGATAAATAAGAGACTTGAAGCAACGAAAACATGGTTCTACAGAAGGATGCTGGAAATTCCACGGACTGAACCTGGGAATAATAAAATGGAATTAAAAAGAACACTAGCACTTAAAATAAATTGAAATTTCTAAGACTCACCATGAGGAAAGAGAGCTTGGAGAATTTGACACTCACATGACATACAGAATATTATGTCGTCCTGGGTAGAACGATAAACTACATCTCGCAGTAAGGACTCTGATCGGGAGGTTTTAAAAACGTGAAGCTACCTCTTAATTGCTGTTTTTCCCAGGTACACCCTGACCAATGGTAGTTTGACTTGTTACAATCCCAACTATGGGCAAATAGTTAACCCACAAACTGGGATCAAAACGCTATGAAAGTATAAAAATAGATTTTTATTGTAAAAATACCAGCAATACATTTTAGGAAAAAAATATTACCAGCAATATATTTTAAAAATATATATATATTACCAGCAATATATTTGACTCTTGGCAAAAACCCTCTTTACAAAAATAGGTCAATGAAAACAGATCTATAAACTGATTTCTCACAAAGAGAATGTATTCTAGTCATACAAACCTATCCTAAACATTTTCTCGGAATTAAATTACTCATTGAGGTTGATATGCTTTAAAACAAAATAAATAAACCAAACCAAACCAGACTCTCGACACAAACCCTCTTTACAAACAAATATATCAATGAAACCTGATCTACAAACTGATTTCTTACAAAGAACACATATTCTATTCATACGAACCTATCAATAAACCAAACTAAACCAGAATTTTAGGGGAACAGAGAAAAGCAGCGATTAATCTAACGAGCTTGTGCAATTGGTTGGAAAATCAGGAATTAGGAGATAAAGTAAAAAGGCAAACTCATAAGACAGGAAGTTGTAGAGAGTAATGATCACCCACGGCTTACGACTATACCACGTTAAAACACCGGTTTCCGTACGATCACTGAAGTTAAGCTACCTCGTGACTGGTCAGTATCTAGACGGTCGACCACTTGAAAATATCAGGTGCTCTAAGTTTGGATGTTTGAGTGGTGTAATGGATAATGGCAATCGGAGTGCCGGGTTTCAATTCCTATTGGGTTCGTTATATTTACTTACGCGCAAATTGGGAAAGGTATGGATTCATCTCTTCTTTCCCCCTAGCTATGGGTTAATTAGTAAAACTTGTATCAATAAACTATTATCGTTTCCAAAAATAAATTCTTACAATCTAAAGAAAAAATTTCTAGTTTTAAATGATGTGCAAATGGGTGATAAGCCGTAAAAAACGAATCAATCAATCAATGATAGTTCACGCCCTAAAAGGACGAGACACAAAAAGTTATATAAGCTGTTATTCATGATAACCATTGCGCTTTTATGGATAATGGTCTGATGCTGTTAATAATGTCTCTATTTTGCTAAATATTTCCCAATAATTAAATGATACACAATTTATTAAGACGCAAATGTTGAGAAAGTCCTTTAATCGCTAGATAATAAAATAAACTTTCAAAATAAATTTACGTCCAGTTTCTTGGAAAGTTTCACTTTTCTTGGTAGATATTCTAATATCATAATGTGGGATATTTAATAACAAAAGTGGTGGAAGCATAAATAAAAAGAACTTAAATAAAATTGGCTAGATTATATACCGAAAGCATTTTTTAAAAATTAGTATAAAGTTTAAATTTCTCAGCGTCTCTTTCGTTCGTGAGCGTGCGTAGTAACATCGACATAAACGTAAACTTAGTCTAATGAAGTTATAAATGATGAAAAGCGTCACACGAAAACTTTTTCTTCTCTTTGTCTCTTTTTCTAATATGTATATATATATATATATATATATATATATATATATATATATATATATATATAAAATAATGAGAAAGAGCAGTAAGAATTATCATCCGTTGTTCTTATTAATTATTTTTATTTAAAAAAAAAAACATTGCTCAATACAATTCTGCAGAGCTTAAATATTCTAAATTTACTAATTTAAAAATATGGTCCCAGCGCTGCACAAGAATTACCATGTTTCAAAAACAGAAACTAAAAACTCTAAATTTTAGAATTAAATTAAAATCCTTAGTACTGTTTCATTTTCAAGCGATTTTTGGAATAACTTATTTTGAAATTTACTGAGTTTATAAGCACATACATTCTTGATATTAGTTGCTATGGTTACAGGGAAATTCAATCATTTTGACAAGGGGTGGTAGGGTATTCATTTTCACTGACAGCCTGTGTATCAAAATACGAGTTACTTTCCAAATTACGTAAAGTTATATATATATATATATATATATATAGAGAGAGAGAGAGAGAAAGAGAGAGAGAGAGAAAGAGAGAGAGAGGGAGAGAGAGAGAGAGGGAGAGAGAGATATCCACATCAATGTGACTAGACATCCAATTGCTTCAAGCCGGGATCGATTCGGCATCCTACCCCTAAGCTATCCTTAAGAAAGGAAAATTTTATCATATATATATATATATATTATTATTATTATTATTATTATTATTATTATTATTATTATCGGACAATTTCCAACTGAATTTCTTCCTTGTTTGAAAAATATTATTCGAAAATTATTGGAAAAGTCGATCGTGAAAATTAAACCACACAAAATGTCTATCGTTTTTCATAGTATTTGATTTAAAGAACAATTTCTGCTTAAATACACATATCACACACACACACACACACACACACACACACACACACACACACACACACAGACACATATTGTTTGAAACTGAATTTTAAGATACACACACACATATATATATATATATATATATATATAAATATATATTATGGAGAGAGATTATTAATCCATTTATAACAACATAGTGAGTTCAGCAATCTTAGATTGCTTCACAAAAGTGTGTTTCCTCCAACTTCGTATCTGAAATAAATAAAATCAAATTTCTCCCAAGATGACGACAGTTCAGATTTTCACTAGTTTGTTTTCGCCTACAAACACGACTTTCACAGGAAAAAAATCGATTTTCCACTGAGTGCTTTGACTCTCTTATAATTTAATCTCATGTGACACGATTACCCGTCTGCGTTCCAAAAATTCCATCCCGCTTTACTTCTGATTTCCATCTGCGTGGAACTTCTTTCAAGCCATTCATTCTAAATCCTTGTGTAATGTAAAATTCTATGAGTTCAAAATGCAAATTACAAATCGAAGATACCAAAATCAAACTCATACAAATGAAATTGAAATATTTGGGATCTGTTTTAACAGAGGACGGAAAGTGCGACACTGAAATCCGAAGGCGTATTGGGATAGGCAAAGATAAACCATTCATTAAGACGAAAATGCTGAAAAAGTGCTTTAATCGCTAGATCATCCCAAATAAACTTACGTCCAGGTTCTTAGAAAGTTTCACCTTTCTCGGCAAATCTTCTATTATCATAATGTGGTATATTTAATAACAAAAGTGGCGGAAATAATCGGTTAGATTATATACCAAAGATGCATTCCAAAAGCTAAGCAGAGTATTAAGAAAACAAGAAAAATTTTCGTTAGAAACAAAGAAAAAATTACTGAACTGTTATGTGATATCTGTTCTCATGTATGGCAATGAATGCTGATCAGTTTCCTCAAAAATGAAGAAGAGACTTAAAGCAACAGACATTTCATTCTACAGAAGGATGCTGAGTATACCATGGATCGAACATGTGAGCAACGACGAGGCTTTAGAGAAAATGGAAACAAAAAGGAAATATACTTAACATCAGGAAAAAGCAGTTGAAATTTCTAGGGCACATAATGAGGAAAGAGGGCTTGGAAAATCTGATACTAACGGGACGGATTGAAGGCAAGAGGGACAGATGAAAGCAATACATAACATACGTAGTGAACCATAGTAAATAGATGTCGAAACAGGGTTTAGGAGAAATAACAAAAAGACAAAATTTATTAAGAGCTTTGATATAATTTAAAAAAATAATCGTCAATGTTATTGTTTTTGAACTTGCATCTTGGCTTCAGTCATGTTCCCACCGGCGTAACGGAGCTTCGATATTCCACTGATTCTCCTTCTTTGGTGCTATGAGGTGGAGGAGCTGTCACAGGGTTGGAATCCTCAGGATCAGACGTCCCTCAGATATTTGTTGTGCTATGTTCGAAGACAGAAACACGATTGATAAATAAAATGTAGTCGACCCGAGGGCCAGGAAGTAATGAAAAGCGTAACCCGATTAGCACTGGCTGTTCGGTCAATGAATATCTAATGTTTCTTTATAAGGAAACGGAAAATATTACCATCGGATTCATATTTGTTGGTTTTCTGTCTAACACCTCGTACACATTCTTCTAAAATCCTCCACACACAAAAAAACACGAGCTTCTTCATTTGCTTTCCAATATTATCTCTTCCTTGTCGTCTCCGTGGCTTCAAACTTCCGGTTACCTTGTTCTCTGTTTCTGGTCGAATCCAAAGAATAGTTAATGTAATGATTTAAAACCGAAATGCATTATTTACTTCAATAATTCTGATATGAGGTTCTACTGCTGTTAAATAATAAAAATTTAGTTATTATTTTTTAGTGGAAGTGTACCGCTGAAGTTGAGCTTTGAGGTCAGATGGAAGACAAAACAAGGAAGTCGATTTTGATTGGCTGAGCCAGTGTGAGAACGATAGACAGAGAAAGGGTTTTTACACGTCAAAGAATGTAGATGTGATCTCTTTCGTGTCTGAAACGTCTCTCTAGTGAGGAAGAGCGACCCCACTGGATAGTTAGATGCATACATTGACGTTAAAAAAATTAGTTAAGTTAAATTCCCTGTGTTGAAGTTATTTTATCTCTGGACTCAAAGCATCTAGCGATCACCGGCCGTGAAAATAAGAATGCAACTTTATTAACGAACTGATACCTGCGACCAAGAGCTCCCCAGCACGAGGGGGGGGACTATACAACACTGCGACCATTTTACGCTCCACCGCCCAAACTTCTCCCTTGAAGGAAAACTTAATCAATCGGCAAACAGCAGTTGGTTATTTGAACTGAGCTGCTATGAAGTTAACATTATCAAAATCATTCCTTAATGTTAACATGATTGTGAGTCAATCAGCTAAAAAGTTGTGAATTTACATTCAAACGACAATTTTTTATTACACTTGTCATCAGCTGCTTACCAATTTTTGACCATAAGAAATGGTACACAAGATTGTAGAATAAATAATATGTACTGAGAAGCAACCACTTTGCTTGAGACAAACCACGAATGACCCAATATGATCTGCTAGGACATAATTTGATTATATGATGTATGAAAATTAAATTCTCAAAATAACCACTGCGTATCGCTTAGTTAATGTCTTAGGTAAATATTTGTAGGGTAGAGCATTTTCGGACATTTTCCACTTTCTTGAGACGCAGGTCAGATGAGATATTCGTTGCCGAGCAATAGAGGAAGTTATACGTGTTCATGCTGTGCTGTTCGCAGGAAATTAGTGAAAGGACTATAAAGTAACAAATTAATACAGGGTTTTACGTAAGGTTGGCGAAATTGTTAGTGAAATGTTAGCTTTATTAAAATGGCTTATAGTGTACATGCTACGAAGAAATATTTTTATTTTTTATTTTAATTGATTTGTTTTGTATGGCTTGTCAAGCCTTTGCAGATTATCTAAAGCCAGAAAATATTTTCGGATTGTAAGAATTTTTTAGATAATGCTTAATTAGTGATACCAGTATTACTAATTAACCCATAGCGGGGGGGAGAAAAGAGGTGGATTCATACCTTTCCCAAGGTTATTTGCGCGTCAGTGAATATAACGAATACAAATGGAATTGGAACTCGGTTCTCTGGTTAACAATTCCGAAACCGTTATCCATAAACCACTCGCACATTCAAACTTACAACGACTGGTGTTTCCAAACGGTCAAGGTACTGACCAGGCCCGACGTCGCTTAACTTCGGTTATCGTACGGGTACCGGTGTTTCAACGTGATGTGTCCGCAAGCCTACGAAGAAATAAAGTGTTTTTGAGTGGCACCAGCGGTTCAAGG